GTACGATGTCTGTACGCTGTGTGTTCAGGTGGAGGAGAGTCTGGACCTGAAGAAACTCACTGACTGGTTGGATCAGATGACAGAAACCACCGTCTCCGTCCACGTCCCTCGGTTCCGGGTGGAGGACAGTTTCAGTCTGAAGGAGAAGCTGCAGGCTATGGGACTGACCGACCTGTTCAGCTCTGAGAAGGCCAGTCTGCCAGGTGAGGGGGGGCGGGGACACACCTGGGGGAGGTCAGACAGTGACCCAGGAGGTTCATCAGGTGTCCACATGATCAGGTCCAAGATAAAAGACAACAGTGTTTAACAGATAAAACCTGAGTCCAAGGTCCAGATCGATCCATTAATCAATGGTTGTTGGTATCAGGACATCCCAGTGACAGTATTTATTCAAACTGCAGCATACAGTCTGTTGGAGGACCGGCTGCAGACAGCGAGGGGAACTAATCACTGTGTGACGTTCAGGAACTGAAATAAACATGGGGCGTTTAGGAACTAATGTGAACGTGGGGAACTGGGGAATGGGGGGGCGTTGTTGGTTTGATGTAAACCAAGTTGACCAACAGTGAACTCTTTAACTGGACTTCATGTTGTTGTCTGATCCTGATCTCTGAGTTTTTTGAATTTGGTTTTATAAATGTTAAATCTATATAGTTCTGATAACGGATTCACGGATATATTTATTGATCTATTGATCTATTGATTATTGTTAGTTGGGTTATTCAGGACAAAGACACGGTCAGTACTTAATAAAGTGTGTGTGTGTGTTTCAGGGATGTTGGAGGACGGCGGTGATGGTCTCCACATTTCAGACGCCTTCCATAAAGCCTTCCTGGAGGTCAGTGACACACTGCTGACATCACTGCTGACATCACTGACAGCTGCTCACTGATTGGCTGTTTTACAGCGAAAGGTTACTGTAGACTGAGAGGTTAAAGGAAGTTTCCTCTCGACCAGCAGTCGACACCTGAAACAGCTCCTCTGGATCTGTTTACAGAAACGACTGTTTGGTGGATGAATATTTTTTGTTGGCCTAAAAGAAGTCAGAAATAATAATAGTGAAATATGCACAATTAGTAAAAGTATTACATACACTTATTTATATATTTACATATATAAATGTAAATATATATATCCTTTACACTATGGAATGTACTTTTGTTACTGAACTCAGAGGACGTGATGTTGGTGTCCTCTTCGATCCAGAGTCGGGACCGGGTCTTGAGTAAACCTGTTTTGTGGTCTGCAGGTTAACGAGGAGGGCAGCGAGGCGGCGGCGGCCACCGCTGTGGTGGCGATCGGACGCTCCATCAACTTAAACCGGGAGGTTTTCCTGGCCGACAGACCGTTCCTGCTGCTCATCAGAGAGTCCACCATCAACACGCTGCTGTTCACCGCCCGAGTGGCCGACCCCTGCAACCCTTAACCCCAGTCCAATCATCCAAACATTACCCAGAATCCCACACTGAGACGCTGTATGGATTCAGTTCGTCCTCATTCAGCGTCAGCAGCGTAACCTTTTCACCCTTCAGGCCGACCACGAAAGCTACTATACACACACATAATACAGACCTTTATAGCTATATAGCAGAATCAATAATCAATAATAAATACTTTAATACAATGGAACCGTCAATGTGCAGCTCTCTTTCAGCCATGCATCCATTACTTCTAGTGAAACTGCTCACACGCTCTCAGTAACAGTGACCGGCGTGCAGCTGCTGCATTGTGAGTAACAAGTGAGTAAAGAAAGAGGCGAGTCGGTGGCGGTCGACACTTAAAGTGCTTTATTTCCTCTGAAGGAGATGCGACCTGTGAGTGATCTAGTGGTCATGGTGAAAGAAGCTTCTTCACATTTTTCTGAACTAATAATCAACCTTTGGCCTCACCCCCCCACCCCCCCTCCACCAACAGAGACATGCAACAGAAAAGATCTTCACATAAAACCTGTCCGGTTCTTTAACGACACGACTGAAGTACCTCCTCTTTAAAACAAACGTACAGTATTAAAAGTTAATTTACTAAACATTTTTCCTTTGACTCATTTTCTGCTTCGATATATTAGGATATACTTTGAGGAATCAACAGTAAAGAGTAATCTCATTAAGTGAATATATCTAAATGATTTATAATTAGGCATGTTGTGGTCAAGGTTACTGGATATTCATATACTAAACATCTGATTCACACAGTAAAAAGTAAAACATGTTTCAGACTGAAGCTGAATAAAAGAAACAAACGTTTGGCGTTAAAGCAAACTGATTGGAGCCTCGACCGACCCCATGAAGAGCAGACGGTGGTGATAAAGACGATGATGATGACGATGATGATGATGAGGAGGAGGAGGAGGAGGTTGGGCTGTTTTCACAGTTTGACTGAAGATGAAACTAAAATGAAGTGAAGAACCATCGAAGAGGAAAAGTCGGATTGTGAACGACCCCCGAGTCTCGCCGCCCAGCTGACGCTCGCCGCTTTCGTTCTTCCACGAATACGAGTTTGAATGTTTTTAACAAGAAACTGTGAAAAGTTTAATTTCTACCAAAAACCACAAGCAGGTGGCGCTAACGTTCGACAGTCTGCTGCTTTAATACAACACAAGATCAAATAATTCAGAACAATATTTCAAATATAAAGTGACGGGCCGAATTCAGACTGATCTGATCATGTAACAAAAAATAAATAAAAGTCGATCTTTGGTTCTAAAGTTTCAATCGAGTTCAGACTCGGTTCACGAAGACTCTGAACGCAACTCTGATCCGACTTTTCCTCCTTTTACAGATTCCTCGAGCGCGATTGGCTGTTCTGGAAGCAGCTTTTTATCGACTTTAACTGGCTTGAAATGATAAAAGATAAAACTACACTAACACGGAAACCCAATTCTGCCAATGTGGAAAAGATCAGTCGACATAATGAGAAAGTTTCTCGTTATTCTGAGATTATGACTTTCAGGATCCTTTTTTTCCTCACATTGGCAGAACTGGACTTCCATAGACTTCAGCTCAGTGCAGAGGTTGAAGACATACGGAGGACCCGGTTCAGATATCGTTAGTGGCCGAGGTTAACTTACAGTTTCTGTTGACCTCTGCTGCACTGAGTCCGTCTGTTCCCGGAGCTTCTGCAGAACCAACGTGTTCCTGTGGTCGGAGCTGGGCAAGTATTTAAGTAATATGTTGGGGTATTTTGTGCAACGAAATTGTGGAAGAAAGTGAAAACTGTCCTTTTTATTATTATCATTATTAAAAGTTAGCAGCAACTTGATCCAGTCAGAATAAAATTGTTTGCATCCTCGTCACAACTACAAACAAGGGATCGAGTTTGGCGGCTCAACGTGAGATTGGTTGAAACTTCCTGGAAGGACTAAGTTCATGTTTTTAATATGAATAAAAATAAAGTCTTTAATTTATTTTGTGAATCCTGATTCGTCCTCAGATTTCAGTAAAAAAAAATGAACTTAATTAAAAACTTACATTTTCAAGCATAGTGTTTTTAAATTGATCCATAAAAAGTTTGCACGAGGTGATAAATCAGAATAACAATTATTTGTTTTGTTTTTTTGCTGAAATTGCACGTTAACCTCTACTGAAGGTAAACCGTCATTATTTTACATTTTATTACATTAAAACCGTTTGCATCACACAAACTAGTTCTTCTGTACTGATTAACTTATTTATTTATGGGTGTAAGCTAACTGACATACGTAACGTTAGCTTGAAATGCAAAATATTGAAATATCTGACCTGTGTAATATTGATGGAAACGGAAGATTTGAAATTATGTTTCACAAAAATAAACCTCAGTTATATAATGTCAGTTAGCTTAGCATAATCAGATATTTCCTGCTCATTCTGAACTGCATGAATACTACAATCAATAAAACAAAGTCATACGTTCATATTCAGTTTTACAGTTGAAGAAGCTTTTTGATCTAAAATGTGACAAAATAAATAAAAGTTACCTTATTAATGTGATTAGCAGCCAAAAGATAGAAGAGAATATTTATTTCAGTTTAAATGTTGAAAAGAAACTGATCGTAATATCACACACACCAAATTACCTTAGTTCTCTGCAGTGATGTACAGGTGTACTCCAGGACACTGTGACATCACTGCTGGGTGTGGTCACAGGTGGAAACTCTTCAGTTTCCTTATATGGAGCAAAAATACTGTTTTATAAGATTTATAAAATGTAAATAAACGAGGTTTTAGTGAAGAGAAGATGATTGTTTGTGCACACATTCACAATAATAGATTTCTGTGTAATATTTGAGCGTTAATGTGCAACAGAGGCGGTGAAGATATTTATGGTTTAAAATAAAATGACCAGTATTTTCTGTGGTATGTTGGAAAGAGGTCTTGCGGTTGTCACGGTTACTGATTTTTACTCCATTTTGCCCAGCCCTGGTCTATTGTGTGTCGTCGCCCTCTGCAGCGACTCGCAGGCATTTCTTACCTGCTGCTGTTACAGGTGAGCTCTGCGGCTGAGGTTTAGCCGTTAGCGTTCTGCTACGTAGGGAAAAGGTAAACGTCTGATTCACCGAAGAAAAGAAAGAGTCTGTATACCTGATAGTTCCTGGTTTAAGCCTGAAGAGTGAGTGCGGCGGCGGCGGCGGGAGGAAAACTCGAGTCCAGCCAGCCGGAGTGAGGACAGAGCCGCTGGATTCACTTGCATAAAAAAATGTAGCGTCCACTGAGAATCAGATTCACAGCTCTGTAGAAAAACAGTAACAGCCCGTCTGTGTGCTACCGAACTACCAAACATCTGAACTTTACTCCGAACTTACATCATTCATATGCAAAAAAACATCTTAGTACTTTAAATATGTTTGTCTGATAATATGTGATTTTATATTGTTCTTATAAAAAGTTCTGGTTTTGATCCCGTCTCTCTGGTAAGTGCTGAAGTTGTTTTGGCGGGCCAACGTGGCAACGTGGTCTTTCCTTTGGTTGCCAGGTGGTCCAACCTGCTCCCGCCCTCCAGCAGGTGACCTTTAATCTCTGGTGGGGTTTTATTTTAGTCCAGCTCCTCGTCCTGTCGCTACCCGATCCATGTCGACCCGATCAGAACCCGTATATCGTAATGACGCATTACCTCGACTGCACATGTGCAACTATAACGATAGTTAACAAGATTTAAACAAATGCACTCTAACTGCCTGTTAGCGGACAAGCTAACATTAGTTAGTGTTGAAGTTGTTTGCTTTAGTGGAGCTATGCTATGCTATGCTAGCAGTTCTCATCCACTTCCAGTGTTTGTGCTAAGCTAGGCTACACACATCGTGGACCTGTTTCTGTACAGAGACTGAATCCACCTGAAACATCTGTTAAAGGGGAACTTGGCAACTCTAGCCATTTCTTCACTGGTTTTCACTTTTGTCATCACATGTTTTCTCAGCGAGCTCCCCCTACAGCTCTGGGACGTGTATTTCACAACACGTCGTAAAAACAACTCACTTGCGGCACCCTCCTTCCCTCTTTCTACCGCTGCTGAGTGCCTTTTTTTCGCCGGGCAACTTTTTCGTGTGGATCAATATCTACGAGGTCGGTTAATACATATAACACTAACCGTTATTGAGGGGCGGCGCTTGTGCGTTTATGTGGAATTGCCGTAAAAGCGGTTCGTCTTTCTCGCTGTTCTCGCCTTCTCGCGATACTTCCTATTTCCAATTTACCAGGAGTAGTCCCCAAGTTGCAAGGTTCGGTTTTCCCCTGGGGTCGCCTGACCAGCGGGGGTTTGGTCACCATTTTCACCGGAACAGGCCATTTAACCATCCAAATGATTTCTAAACGGGTTTATTAAGCTGAAAAAGTTGCCAAGTTCCCCTTTAATGTTAGTAGACATCCGCTAACACGAGCTAACAGGAGCTAAGTAGCTCACAGACATTAGCTCTTTAACAAACATCAGCTAGCTTGTACATTACGTTGTTTTTTGTGTGTTAATGTTTCAGCTGATAGAAACAGTTAACAGCTGTTAGCTCCTATACTGATGATGGTCTGTTGTGCAAACTGTAAGAAAACAACACAATGAAGAAGCAGAAATCTGTTAGCGTCCAAGCTAATGTTGATTTTCTTAATAAATGTTATCAGCTAACTTAAAGACAAGCTCACAAACATTAACTGTTCAAGCAACGGAGGTCTGTGGGTCAATAAAATACAATTTGATTAGATTAATGTTTTTTGTTAATTAATGTTAGTCATTGTAGTTAACTAGCTAACCGTTGGTCCGAGCTTTGAACTCTTTTTAAAAATGTCTGGTTTGTAATAATTCAAATAGTTCTGAGCCAACAGAGTAAAAACATAAACTAGCTTGTAGATTAATGTTTGTGTATTAATGTTCATCAGTTCATCAATCAGTTAAAAAACAAGCTGCTAACAACTATTAGCTCTTATAGCCATGTATGTAATTGATTATAATAATTGATCGATTCAAACACAATTTGTAGCCAGTTAGCTTGCAGGCTAATGTTAGCATATATGCCTCCATTGTGATGAGGACAGCTTTATAAACATTAGCCAGCTAAACCTTTTCAGTTTATTCTCCCTGAATGATTTTTTGATAAACTGGAGCTTCAGTTTTTGCTCGTGCAGCAGATTTAACGCGTCATTAACTGCGACAGAAGTTCCTGATCAGGTTGCGACACTCGTCTGAAGCTTCTGTCGTCTGTCACACACATTGTCAGAGCAAAAAAGTGTCCAAGAAAAACAAAAACAAAAACACATGCTTGTTATAAAAATATCTGAGAAAACTGACGGGGATCTCTGTGTGAGTGGATCAGAGCGCCCCCCGGTGGTGCTGTGCTGTGCAGTGCAGCAGCTGTATTGCGTAGTGATGAGAGGTAACTGAGCTGTGTAGCTTATCTGAGACTGGACGGCGTCCAGTTTTCCTGCTGTGAGTCTGTTCAGTCAACAGGCTGCCAGATGGTCCTTTTTCTAATCTACCAGATCATTAAAACCGAGTTCGACACTCAATCTAAAGAATTTATACTCGATTTACAGCCAAATGAACAAATCCAGTGTGATCAGAGTTCTTTTCACTGCATCATAAAGCTTCATTCTCCACCGTGGGACACAAATATATCAGTTTATCCCACAACCTCGGAGGTAATGTCCCCCCACATACAACCACCTGGTATTACGAGACCTAAGTCCTGAACTTAGGTCTCGTGATAACACCTGAGCAGATTCTATTAGCCAGAGAAGGTCATGGGATACAGTCAAATGTTCCAGGTAGAGCTAAGTAAGTGGACCTTGTGTTTAGAATATTTAATAGAGAAGATCAGAGAGGTGTTCTGATACTAAGTTTTCCTTTCCGGTTCTGATTCCGATACCAATCCGACTGAACAATCCTGAATGATTTCATCGTTGTACGGCCCGGCGCACGTTCTAGCTAACGTTACACGGAAATCAACTTGCTGCTAGTTGTTCCTTGATGACCTTGTTGGTTTTGGTCAGTTAGAGTAAGAATATCAGGGTAAGCCAACGAGTCAGAGGAGGTTGAAGGACACTTATAGAAGTATCAGGGTCGGGTTTCGGGGCTAATACATGATATGGTATCGGATCAGTGCTCAGATATGAGTACTCACAGATACCACGTTTTAGGAAGTAACATCAGAGTTTCAGATACTGGTATCAGAACAACTCTTGTCAAGACTTTACTACATTTTATAGAGTAAAAACTTTATAATAGTTTTAAATACAGATATTTTTAGAAACCAGAGCATTCGGTAAACCCTCTAGGATCAGGACTGGGATCAGAACTGACTGATGAACAAGAGATCAGTAGTGTGAAGCCGTGTAGTGTGAGATCTTTATCTATTTACTAAAATTTGATGTCCCAGAAACTGGAGAACGGGGAAAGACGAGAACCTCCGATCACACTGAAACTGAACTTTAACAGTCGAAGTTTCTCATTGAACCTTTTTGTGCAACTGAATCGTTTAATGCCGACGTGGCACTTGAAGAGCGCGCAGGATTATTATTATTAACCTCACTGCTCCAGATTGTCTCAAGGCAAATACGAAAGACTGGAACTGTTAAACTGGCACTGAGTAGTTTGGCAAAGTTTCCACCAGACAGACTGTTGTGATGCTGCATTGTGAACCTGTAATACCTGTAAATATAAAAGTAGAAATCTGTAACATAAACTCGACGGAGGCAAACGAGGACCACTGCATCGTGTGGCGTATGAGGTTGTTGGAGTGTGTGGTGTTTCTTCATTTTAGCTTAATCTGTTCGGTTTGGTTAGTGAAGGTAGATGCGGTTTAAAGCGGAAAAATCTCAGTTCAGACTCTGAGGTGTCCTTTCTGTCGCTGCAAGTTCAGCGTCCTGTTGGCTCCAGGTGGATCAGACGGCCCCCCTACCCCAACCTCGACCCTTCCCTACTTCCCCAATTTGAGGTCAGTCGGGCCCCGTGGTGGAGACCGAGGCCTGGGGACCTTCGCTGTACTGGCCTCCGCCTCCGCCGCTGCTGCTCCCGCCCCCGCCCTCCGGCTCCTCCTGGCTGGGGGAGGCCTCGTCGCTCGGCCCTCCCCTGGATGTGACGGAGGCGGTGGTGGTCTCGGGGGAGGCGCTGTGGGCCTCCTGAGGGGCGCAGCCCGGGTGGTTTTTGCGGAAGTGCTGGTTGAGGATGGCCTGGAAGGGGAAGCTCTTGCCGCAGACGTGGCAGTGGAAGGGCTTGTTGCCGGTGTGCTTGCGGATGTGGTACTCCAGCTGGTCCTTGCGGGTGTACTTCTTCCCACAAATACGGCAGACGAACGGCGTGATGCCCATGTGCAGGCGCATGTGGCGGTCCAGGCTGCCTTTCTGGTTGAAGGACTTGCAGCAGTAGATGCAGGTGAGCCGTGGGTTGTAGCGGAACCAGCGGTCTCCTACCTGCTCCCTCAGGTAGTCCTCGTAGCCACCCATATCGAATGCTGCATGCTCCTCCCCCTTAAAGGCAGAACCAAACGTTAATACAAACCAGAACCAGAACAGACCGCAGCAAATTGGGTTTTCAACCTCTGGATCAACAAAGAGCTCTTAACCTGGTTTTAGACCCCTGAATCTTTAGAGGTCTGCTAGTGACCCTGTCTGAGGATGGACAAAATTCTAAGAAACGTGATGGTACTCTTTTTCCTACAGTACCGTAGGTAGGTACCGGACAGGTCTTCCGGACCTGACGGGGTCAGCATCTACGCCTACAGGTATTGTAGTCTGGGACTACAATACCTGACTACAGTCTGGGTCTTGGGCTGGATACTAAACTTTGATAATTTAACGGTACCGACTGAATCAGGTTTTGGTATCAACTACTAAATATCTCAGATTTCTGCGACATCATTTGAAAATAAAAACTAATTGAAAAATGAAAATGTGAAACTTGTAATTAATTAAAAAATATACTTTTGTAAATGAACAAATAAAATATATATATAATATAGTAATAAATAATATAGTTAATGTCTTCTATTGATTTTGACTGCGAGGGGAACATCCACTACCGTCCTGTGATTAGTTACCTGGGAGCTCGGCTGTCGCAGCTCGTCCGCCCGGCTTGGAGACTCGCTCTTCGCTCGCTGACGCTCCGCCAGGACGACGACGCTGCCGGTGGGACTGAACCTGACACACAAACACACGTTAACACGCAGGAAGTTGGGACGGCGCTCGGCTCTGCGACGCGTCCTCGCTGTGACTCACCTGTCTGTCTCGCTGAAGCTGGAGGACGGTTGGGCGCTCCGGCCCCCCAGCGCTCCCACCGGCCCCGTCACCAGCGTGCTGCGTCCCGACGTGTCGATCATCACCGTGGTGCCTTCTTCTACCGGCCCCCCCTCCTCCTGGTGCTCCCCGGCGCCGATCCACTCCTCCATCCTCTCAGTCTTGATCCGTATTCGGTCCATGCCACCGCTCTCCTCTGCGCTGCCCGGGCGCTCCGGCTCGCTGCTCGTCTCCACGTACCACTGACCAGCCCGGTTGATGCGAAGGATCGGTTCTTTTCCCGCTCTGCCAGTGGTCCCGGACCCCTCCAGCCCACTGTGCTCCACCGTTGGCGGCGGGCTGAGAGGCTCCTCTGCCGGACTGACCGCCTCGCACACCTCCGTACCCCCCCGCGGGCCAAGGAGCCGTAGGCCACCGTGGTGACCGCCTCCTCGCACAACAGCCTCCAGGGTCCGGTTGCCCCTGGAGCCCCGCGCCTCCTCTGCGGGCTCCTCGTCCATGTCCGCCAGGCTGATCTTCAGGTGGATGCCCTCCAGGATCTGCGTGCAGCGGTCGATGATGTGCTGCATCTGCAGGAAGCTGGCGGCCGTCAGGTAGCTGATGATGTCGGCGAGCTGCAAGCAGAGGCGGCCCGTGTAGCAGAAGGACAGCAGCTGCTCGAACACCGTCGGGTTGCGGATCACCGTCAGCGACACGGTGCTCATCTGGCTCAGAGACATGTGGTCCCGGAAGTACGGCGAGCTGGCGGCGAGGACCACCTTGTGCGCCCGGAAGCTCTGGCCCTGCACGTTGACCACGATGTCGCAGAGACGGCCCTGAACACGGAGCTGGTTCAGGTGAGACAGAACCGAGTTACTGAAGTCCGGGATGTCCAGCTGGATGCTGCCGGACCGCTCCATGCTGCAGCCTGCAGGGACGCTGCAATATCAGAACCAGATCAGAACCAGATCAGAAGTTTAAAAACAATCTCTCCTGGCAGATTTACAGTCCTCCTGTTAATTAATGCGCATTGTCCCTTTAAATACACAAACAGGCTCCGTAATGTAACATCGGATCAACAAGACCGGATCAACTCGCTGTCTCGTTACAGTCTGATGATCCACGTTGGTTCTGGCTGGTTCCATTAAACACTTTTATAAAGAAATGTGAATAATTGTGGGAAACAGAACCAGGAAGGTCCACTAACCAAACTAACTATTAACTATTTACACATTATATGAGCTTTGAAACAGTTCGATGTGTATCAACACGAGTCAATATATTGTTTGATTTTCACTTTAAATCTACTTTTTGGGAAACTGTCACAATAAGACTTTAAAGTATCTAACAGAACAACATTATACAGACAAAACTGCATAAAAAGTTCCTTAAACAGGAAATAATCTGCTCAACATTGATCCAAATATCTGATTTATTACAAACTGATTCACTTTGAGTTCATTGATCAAGTTTTAATATAAAATATCATAAAAGTTTAATAAATGATAGAAAGGAACCAGTGGACCTTCATACAGCTCTGATCACTTTCTCCTCTAACTGAGATTCTGGAGTCCTGATCCTGGACCTGGACCTGGACCTGGTCTGGGGTCCAGGACTGCAGAGAGGAAGAAAACTGATTAATTTATAATCTGAGTGATGTTTTAGTGTTGGACGTACCTGCCCAGGTAACAGATCTGTACGACAGTGGATCAGGGCCGGAGTTAGACCTGAGTCTGGGTCCTGTCGGTCTGTGATGCTGCTACCAGAACTCACCTGTCGGCCAGGTGACCTGAACAGGTTCAGACTGAGTATGAACCAACATGAAGGATTCACAGCGTCTGACCAGACCCAGGTTCCAGTCTGCCAGCAGGACCCAGACCAGAACCTGACAACAGGACCCAGACCCAGAGCAGAACCAGACTACAACCTGTCTGACAGCAAGAGACCGGGACACAGATCCAGACCCTGTCTCTGGGGGGTCAGGTAAAGCTCCAGGTGGGCTGCTGGACTCTCACCTGAAGGAGGGGGGGGCAGGCAGAGATCGGGTCTGGTTTCAGGGTGCGGTGCAGTCTTCAGTCCTGCAGCTCGGCTCGGCTCGGCTCGG